GGGGGGGGGGGGGGGGGGGGGGGGTGGAGTCCTTGATGGTTCTAAGCTAACGATGCCTGTGCTACGATGTGTCCTGTGTTGTTGTTGTTCCACTGTGTTTCTGAATGTTCTCCGACGGCGGCGCCCGTTGCCCCGCACTGCTGCCCTGTCACCATGTGCCGGTGATCGAACAGGCAGAAAAGGTGCTGATGTTCAACCAGGACACCAACCTGACGGCGCTGCTACTCGAGGCCAAGGACCTGGAGGCTCGAGTCATCATCCTCTCTGCCAGGTTTGCAGAAACCGTCTTTCGTCGATAATGGTCGATGGAGATTAGTAACTGCATAAATACTCAATATTTACCACAATATTGGCCAATAATTAGTTAGCAACTAGTAATGAAATGTACAGTTGAACCTTGAGATACGAACATAATCCGTTCCAGGACCGAGCTCGTATCTCGAATCATGTTTTCCCATAAGAGAGTGTGAGTTTAATTAAATGAGCTGCAATGCTGCCATCTAGTGACCTTCACTTTAATATACCGTCATTTATCCCCAAAACTATTTTCAGGTCACACATCATTTGGCGAAACCCAAAAGGCATTGCGTTCTCGGGTTTTCATTATCGGAGGAAAAACCGATAACAGTTCTTACAGGTATTACATATTATGCTAATATTGGTCGGCCGATATTATCGGACATCCCTGGTATATTGTTATAGCCCACGTAACCGTCCAATCCAAGTCACGACTGGATTCCAAAATAAACATCCAATAATAATATCAGACAAAAATGTGGGTTTTTATATTTGACAAATACGGTTGGTGCCCCCTGCTGTTCTGCACAGTTTTCCCATAAGTCTTCCCATAAGAAATAATAATCACTATTATTAAGAGTAATGCACAAAATAGAGAGAAAGTCACTTAGAGAACGCAAACATAATACGGAAGACTCGTGGGAGATGTGTACAGAAGTCGACGAACACGTGAAGAGAACATGTGAGGCGGCGTGGGCTGCTCCGACTGCTCGAACACCTAGCTTCGGCGTCTGTAAGCGTACTCATATCTCGAGGCCAAAATTTGCTCGGCGTATCCCAAAATACTCGTATGTCAGGATGCTCGTATCTCGAGGTTCCACTGTTGTTTGTGTTTACTCTCACTTTCACTTTGAAGGAGAGTTCCTGTTGGTTTTTTTGCTTTTGAAGAGTTGCTATTTTTTCCCTCATCATCTTTTAAGATTTTCGTGTCTCTTGTTGCAGTGAGGATGAAGCCGCGGCCATGTACAAAGCGGCCCGTCAGCTCAACATGACCGGCTCCGGTTATGTGTGGCTGGTCGGAGAAAGAGAGATGAATGGAAAAGCTCTGAGTGAAGCTCCAGATGGTACGTCAACCTTCGCCTCCTCCTCTTCTTTTGTTTTTCTTCCTTCTTCTCCGACTCACACTCTCTCCGTGCTTCTCAGCTCTGCTTCCATCTTAGTGTCAGCCCGACTGTGGGCAGAGTCCCACGTTAGGAAGATAAGAGCTGGCATTTCCACCAGTCTGTCTGGCTCCATCAGGCAGACGCGATGTTGCCATGAAAAACATGCTGCAGACAAAAATACCTCTGAGCCTCTGAGCTGTCACCACTGTATTTCTCTGTTTTTTAAATAAGATATTTTTGTAGAGAACAAAAATAGACGCGGTGACAGAAGGTGGAAGAAACAAAAGCCCCTGAACTACTGAGTCATTTGATGAATAGTTTTATGCTATATCGCAGGGATGTCCGATATTTACTTTTTTTCCGATATGCCGATATTGTCCAAACACTTAATACCCGATTCTGATATCAACCGATACCGATATAGGCCTGGTAATACTTATTTATTTATTGCTATGCTGCCATCTAGTGACTTCCACTGTAATATACAGCCGTTTATCCCCAAAACTATTTTTAGGTCACACATCATTTGGCGAAACCCAGGCGCTGCGTTATTCATTATCGGAGGAAAAACCTATAACGATTCTTTCAGATATTACATAATATGCTAATATCGAGCCGATAATATCGGTCGGCCAGTAATATTGGTTGGCCGATCCAATCCAGGTCACGACTGGATTCCAAAATAAACATCCAATAATAATATCAGACAAAAATTTGGGTTTTTACATTTGGCAGATACGTTAGTGCCCCCTGCTGTCCAAATTTTTTTTTGGGAGGCGATTTTGCTAATAACCGATGCTGACGATCGGTCAATAGATAGGTAGCTCTTCTTACACGTGGGTCACTCCAGTTGACCTGTGCTCACACAGTCAGATGCTGTTGTGTGTAAATTACACTGTAAATCACAACCCTAACAAATGCATCACAGCACTGATTTAAATTTATTGATTTTTTTTTTTCATGAACTCAGAGAAACTTAGGGAAAGTTTTTATGTCGTATTATGGAAATCCTTAAAACCCCGACAGCCTAGTGGTTCAGATGATGAAGTGCTGTTATCGGTACTGTTTTCAGGTGTTGCTATTAATTGGGTTGTAAAGTGAAATTCCGCATTCTCACGAGCCTCTTCAATCCGTGCCTTCACCAACCGAGTTCGTATTTCTGTCTCCAGGAGGATGAAGGAACTCATTAGTATTCATCGGGTGTGTACCGTGACTTTCATGCTGGCAAATTTACAGCTGCAGCTATTTTTTTTTTTATGAAAAAAAGGAACACAAACACTTATATCAAGACAATGAAAAGATTGCACCTGTCTACCTCTCTCTCTCTGTCTCTCTGTGTCTCTCTCTCTCTCTCTGGTAGTGCTGTAGTTCTGTGTTGAAGGAAGCTAATCATCATCTCAGCTGGCTTCTTAGCTTCCTGGTATCTCTATATCTGGTTTCCTCTGACCTCCGGTTGAACGTTTAAACATCAAAGGCACATGTTTAAAGGTTCCTAACCTCACTCTCTCTCTCTCTCTCTCTCTCTTTTCCTCTGGCGACGTTGTAACTGTGTGGCTTTAAATGTGTCTAACATCTTTTTTTGTTTATTTCATTTCCCAGTGTGTTGTCGTCCGCCCGCCCGTCTGCCCGTTCTCACAGTAGCCAGTAACATGCGCTGCTATTCGGGGAAGGTTGGAAGAGGGGGCGGGGGGTGGTACGCGGGAGGGGTTGGTGGTTCTGGGTTTTTTTTATTTATTTTTTTTCGGGGAGGGGGGGGTGACAAACAGCTTGTGTTGCAGCAGTTTCCGTGACCGTTGTCTGAACGTGCACCGGTAAGACGCCGTCTTTGCTTTTTGTCATTTGCTTGATGCTCTGTCCTTTAGCGTTGGTCAATTCACACGACAGTTTGAGGCCGAGCTTGTTGAGACAGCTGATTACACAGTCTGCCGAATATGTCCATATATACAGTACGTCTGTATATATTGAGCCACATACTGTATGTCCATGTATATTTAGGTCCTGAAGTGGAAAAGTTTGTTTTCCAAAATCACAAAACTCCTAGTACGCATGAATTTTTTTTTTGCATTTAAACATATTTTGGTTGTCATCAAACTTCAAACTGCAGTAGGACTGTACTTATCACCGGCTCCTTTGTAATCAGCCACTCAACAAGGACAGAGATCTTCTCCAGCCATCCTCTGCTATTTTGGAAAGTATCTGCCTCCAAAGGTCTTTATGTGCATAAGTATACTTTACCTTTGAAGTGTAGTTAATGGGCACTCTGAGAAAAAAAAAAACATCTGATGTTCAGGGAGGCTTTTACGATATTGTTTACTCATGGTAGCTTTTTACACAGACCTACCATTGGATATATATATACAATATATATATATATATAGAGAGAGAGTGCGTTTTCTCATTTTACTTAAGTCTTAGAGAAGTACGAAACGACATACGAGCGACCTAGCTTCACTGAGGTGTTTTGAATTTTGTAGTTTTTTTTCTTCTTCTCTAGATATTTGTCACACTCAGCAATTTGATGCTTCAGTTGACTTTAGCGCAGTCTGCTGACATCGTTAGCATTCCGTTCTTAACAATAACTATCTGTAGGTTCAGGTTCGCATGACAAATCTAATGACCTGTACGCAATGGCTCAAATAGGTATGCTATGCTATGCTAAAAGATTAGCTGCAGTAAAACTGTATTAAGTAGTAAAGGGAAGTTGGGGGATACATCTGGAAAATAGCGTTAGCAGCTGATTCTTGTGTGCGACAGCAGGCCTGTGGTGATTTTTATCTATAAAGTCTAAACTCTAAACTTACTGGTTTAAGAGTAAGTACAGTATAGCAGCTAGCGGTTAGCATGCTTCCGAAACCAAAATATGTTTACTTGTGTATTTATTTAATTAGTGAAACGTGTGATAGATGTGAAAATAGCATTTTTAGCAATAGCAATAGCAGCTGATTCTTGTCTATGACAGCAGGTCTGTGCTGATTTTTAAATTTAAATTTGGTTTAAGTGTAGGTATAGCTGCTAGCGGTTAGCACGCTTCTGAAACCAAAATATGTTTACTACTGTATTTATGCGATTTTTATCTTAAACTTAGATTCCTCTATCGTTCAATTCATAGACTGTGATCTACGAGTTGAGTGCTCTAGTAATTTTTTTTTCTTCTTACGGTGTTAGCCGACTGTTGTTATTCAGCTGGGTGACAAATGCGAACACTGTTGTTGCAGTGTGACAATTCTCTGTAGAAAAAAAAAACACCACTCAGTTCAAGACGGCTCAACGGCCTCGTCTTATTTACAACAAACTGCAATGATTCTCAGAGTGAACTCCCAGCATGCACTTTGCTCGTCCCTAACTCAACCCTAATATGCCCAAGGCCCAGAATGTGGGTGTGTAAATGAAACTGAAGCGCTCTTAATCAGATGATTGAAACTAAAACATGGGCACAATGTTTTAATCAAAGCGTGCGCGGACGTTAGCATCTTTGGCTAATCTCTAACTAACCATCTGCTGTGTGTGTGTGTGTGTGTGTCCACTTTTAGGACTGCTGGGCCTCCAGCTAATCAACGGTAAGAATGAGTCGGCTCACATCGCTGACGCTGTGGCCGTCGTCGCTCAGTCTCTGCAGGAGTTATTTGAGAAAGAGAACATCACAGAGCCGCCCAGGGGTTGTGTGGGTAACACCAACATCTGGAGGACCGGACCGCTCTTTAAACGGTCGGTACCAGTACAGGAAGTTGACCGACTTTATCTCCAATGTTTCTCCAGTCATTCAACCTCCTCTCGTGTTCGGACTTCCAGGGTCCTCATGTCCTCTAAGTACGCCGACGGTTTGACGGGACGAATCGAGTTCAACGACGACGGAGACCGGCGTTTCGCCACCTACAGTATCATGAACTACCAGCAGAAGTCCGGTCGAGTTCTTCAGGTCGGAGTCTTCAACGGATCGCAGGTCAGTAACACCGGTGTTCGCACTAGTTAGCGGAAAAATCACCAACCACCACATCGTGGGTCGTCACCGGGTGAGAGGTCAATGTGTGTGTTTGTGTTATAAACAGGTCATAATGAACCCTCAGAGGAAGATCATCTGGCCTGGAGGAGAGACCGAGAAACCAATCGGATACCAGATGTCGACTAAGCTAAAGGTACTACAGTACTTCTTCTTCTACCGGTATCGCAAGCTGCTACAGAATACTCCCGTAGTTGCCCCATATATTGAAACAATCTTTGACACACTTTGTAGAATCAGCATTGTCCAGGCAGACAAGACTGACATTTGAAATCTTCAGAGGGGTTCCTCAGGGTGTCGTACCGGTAACTGTACAATTCTGTAGTCGCAGTACAAACTGTGTTTTGTTTTTTTGTTTTTTCAGATTGTGACAATTCATCAGGAGCCGTTCGTCTACGTGAAGCCAACCAGGAGTGACGGGACATGTAAAGAAGAGTACAGTGTGAATGGAGTCTTGATCAAGAAGGTGATTTGTACCGGACCCAACGGTACTATACCAGGTACTCTTACCAAGAACGTTTGATGCCGTGAAAAATAATCTTTGAACTCGATCTCAACAAAGAAACATTTTCAACAAATTAAAATGAAAATAATATTTTAAAGACTCTCGTCGCTTACATGCGTTTTTCATTTTATTTTCCCATAAGGCTGAGCTTCAACAGGGTTTAATACGCCACACCGTTGCAGATACCAACGAGAGGAAAATGTTGATTTTTGATTGACAGTCGATTTGAATGAACTGATTATAAAGTTCAGAAGTTCTAACGACATATTAATAAAACGCTAGATATTTTATCAAGTGTTTGTAACGCTGTGTCCAGGTCAGCCCACTGTTCCTCAGTGTTGCTACGGTTTTTGCATCGACTTGCTCATCAAGTTGGCGATGAGCATGAACTTCACCTACGAGGTCCACCTGGTGGCAGATGGAAAATTTGGCACGCAGGAGCGAGTGAGTATTTCTACGAGGGGAATAGGTCGTATCAGCTAGCTTGTTTGGGGTTTTTTTTAGACCTGAGGTGAGTGTATTTTTTAAGATCTTTTAATAATTTTTGTTCTTTTTTTGGGCCATTTTAATTGAGGACCAACCGAGAAATTGTCTAAATCAGTGATGACGGACAGTCCGTCAGTCTGGGTCTATGATCGGATTTTACTGTCACTCTCCCCCTCTCTCTTTCTCCCCCCTCCCTCTCTTTCTTCCTCTCTCACTCTTACGCTGTTTTACTGATTCAACACCAGCCCAGCGCTGATGCTTGTTGCTATGGTTACCAGCCTTCCGTCCCCGGCTGTGACCTTGTTAAGTCTAAGAAAGACATTAGTTGTTTCCCTCTGTCACTCTCTATGTCTCTCACTCGCTCTCCCTGTCCTTCCCGACCCCCCAATTCCCCTCTTTGCTCCTCTTTGCCCCCCGTCACACCTTGTCTTTCTTTTTGAATCGATGCAGATTTTATTCTCATGGACCAACAGACACTCCTGTCCTCTGCTCCCTACTGTAGGTCAACAACAGCAACAAGAAAGAGTGGAACGGGATGATGGGGGAGCTGCTGGGAGGTCTCGCCGACATGATCGTGGCTCCTCTCACCATCAACAACGAGCGTGCTCAGTACATAGAGTTCTCCAAACCCTTCAAATACCAGGGGCTTACCATCCTGGTCAAAAAGGTAAAACGGCTTGTGCTGCAAACGACAACAGCAACACCGCTAACGCAGGCGTCGGAGCAGGGGCGGGTAAACCCTTGGCTGGCGGGGCGGAACGAAGATCAGGAATTACCTGGAGTGGAATGCCAGATGAAATTATAGAGATAAAACCTGAACTTTCGTTGATAATTTGGTTCAGTTGACGTCTACCGCCATCTAGTGGCATCAAGTGAAATTACAGTTATGAAATTCGTAGTTATGCATGAAACAGAAGGATTGATGTCGTTTTTTTTTTTTTTATCAGACCATGTTCAGCGGGCTGGATTACAAAAGCGCATCTTAAATTAGAAATTTAAGATTTTAGAAATTGTATTTCTCACGTATCGTCAAAATCTAAACCTGGTTTAACTTGAACTTTTTGTGTGCAGGAAATCCCACGCAGCACTCTGGACTCATTCATGCAGCCGTTCCAGAGTACACTGTGGCTGTTAGTCGGTCTGTCGGTCCATGTGGTGGCAGTGATGCTCTACCTATTAGACCGATTCAGGTGAACACGTCACATTATTATTATTTTTATTATTAGGTTTTGGCCTCAGAAAACCAGATTTTAGTGTGTGTGTGTGTGTGCAGCCCGTTTGGAAGGTTTAAAGTCAATAGCGAAGAAGAAGAAGAAGACGCCCTCACCCTTTCGTCAGCCATGTGGTTCTCATGGGGAGTACTGCTGAACTCCGGTATAGGAGAAGGTGAGGAGTTTCTCCGATCGTCTCCCCGCGTTTCTTCCTCCGTCCTGTCGGCGACGACAACAACAGCAGTGTGTCTTGGTGTTCTGTGCAGGAGCTCCTCGGAGTTTCTCGGCGAGGATTTTAGGTATGGTGTGGGCAGGATTTGCCATGATAATCGTAGCATCGTATACTGCCAACCTGGCAGCCTTCCTGGTGCTGGATCGGCCTGAGGAGCGCATCACTGGCATCAACGACCCCAGGGTGAGGCGGTTTGATCCTAAGAGGTTTCAGTTTGGATTAGGGCGAGTGAACGCGTCGTCTGTTCACTGATGCGTTTATTGATTTATGCAGAGGACGGCGGTGACTGGTGAGAAATATACTTGGCGCCTCAACTCCTCCGCAACTCACGCTCTGTCCGTCTGCTGTTTGTCTTTAGCTGCGGAATCCGTCAGATAAATTCATCTACGCCACAGTGAAGCAGAGCTCGGTGGATATTTACTTCAGGCGGCAGGTGGAGCTGAGCACCATGTACAGGCACATGGAGAAGCACAACTACGAGAGCGCCGCCGAGGCCATCCAAGCCGTCAGAGACAAGTAGGCTACCGTTTCATTTATTTGTTCGGACGGACTAATAGCGCCACCTGTCACACCTGTCTTCGTCCTCCTCCTGCAGCAAGCTCCACGCATTCATCTGGGACAGCGCCGTGTTAGAGTTCGAGGCCTCGCAGAAGTGTGACCTGGTGACAACGGGAGAGCTTTTCTTCCGCTCGGGATTCGGCATTGGAATGAGAAAAGACAGTCCGTGGAAACAGAATGTTTCCCTGGCTATTCTTAGGTAAAATACACCTTTTTTTATTTTCAAAAATAAGTATCAGACTGATGTCATTTTTTTTTGGTTGTTTGAAAAGCATGTACATACAGTAGAGACCTGTAAAAAAACTTAATTTAAATGAATACTACTAAATTGTTTAGTAAAATACCACAAAGAGCCTAGTATTACTGCAACTTATATATGAAAAAAACTCTGTATTATCTACGGCCACAAGAGGGCAGTGGCTTCACTTGTGAAAACTGACACGACTGAACCAAACAAATTTCATTAAAAACTTTCCAACTTCCACAAAGACTTCCTTAAAAAAGGTCACAGACAAGAAAAAGACAAAAAAAATCTGATATCCAGATTAAACATTTTTGATCTTTTTCTTCCCCTCAGTTCCCACGAGAATGGCTTCATGGAGGATTTGGACAAGACGTGGGTTCGATACCAGGAGTGTGACTCGCGAAGCAACGCTCCCGCCACACTGACCTTTGAGAACATGGCAGGTAGGTCTCAGATCAGGTCCCACCTACGTAGACGTTAGCGCCATCCAGCTGTAGTACGTGGTGTTGATGATGTTGATCGCCTCCCCCTCCCGTCCTCCTGTCCTCCCCCTCAGGTGTCTTCATGTTGGTGGCTGGTGGCATCGTCGCCGGGATCTTCCTCATCTTCATCGAGATCGCCTACAAACGTCACAAAGACGCTCGCAGGAAACAGATGCAGCTCGCCTTCGCCGCCGTCAACGTGTGGAGGAAGAACCTTCAGGTATTTGACTTTTTTTCTTTTTTATTGTTAGTCTGGTGAAGTCACTGTCAAGGAATGTAAAGTAATATAACTCTTTTTTTTAGTGTATTTTTTTTAAATTTCCCATTTGTTTTATTTTAAATTCAACAGGATGTTTTACTTTTTTCTCTCTTCATTGTTCTTGTGTAAGGCAAAGGTCACATGACACTGACGTCTGATGTTAAGACTTTGAGTTGACGTTTTCCAGCATTTTGGCAGTAGCAGCCGTTAGCTCAGTTAGCTAAAACATCTACTAACCTTATCTCTATATTGGATTTTAAAACAAAAACAATTCGTACAAAAAGTGGAAAAAAACGTTTGCTTTATGTGACAAAAAACTATATATTTATATTTATATATTTATTGTATTTTTATTTATTTTGTTTATATAGCTGTTATATAAATTTTAAAATAATAAAAATATAATAATAAAAAATCTAAAATATAATATATTATATATATTATATAATAATATATAAAATAAAATATGTATTTTTGCTGTTTTTGTTTATGTAGCAAATCACGCACGTCACGTAGCGTTACACGCAGTACACGCCGCGGAGCATAAAACTCATGTATAATGTATGCGTGCGTCTCAGTTCGGTTGATGAGCGGAGAAATCTCAGAAATTCATCGTTGTGGTTTCTGTTAAAGATGGATGAGGTCGTGTTGTTGACTAAACTGTGACAGACTCGGGGAAACTAAAAAATGTACAACATACTGCAGTACAACACATTATGTCATGATATTACTTACTTAAACTGAAAAAAAAAAAAACTTTTAGTTTCAGCTCTAGTTCAGTTCCTTCGCGTTTGAGGTCCCTGCGCTGATACAGTGGCATGCTACATGCTAAGCTACATGCTAAGTGCCTTCAGTACACATCACTGAAGGCACTTAGCATGTAGCTTAGCATGTTACTGTACCAGCGTAGGGATTAGGTTTACATTTATTTTATCATTTATTTTAGTAGTATTGTATTATTGTAGTAGTATTGCAGTGTTTCCCTCAGGAGG